TTTCACTCATGTTTGACATCTACTTCTGTAAGGCCCTCCTGTGGTTCATAGGATTAGTGCACTATTGATGCTACTACTGTAGGTAGTCATAAACATCACAAAATTTCAGAGCGATATTCTACATTGTCAAAAGACAGCAAGTATTATTCACATGCACTGTAGTAAAGATGCAGATTTTAAACAGAGAATGCTGATTGTTCCAGCTGTTTGTGGCTTTAAAATCTTTGAATTAATCTTTGGAGTTCATCCATAAATCTTAATCTCCTCATTCAGTGCCAACTGCTTGTGGTAAGGTGATATGAATGCGTGTCATATCTGAGGCCCAAAGAGACCCTCACAAGCATTTAAAATAGATTTCCAGGTTACTGCAGGCTATTGAAGTCATCCACTTGCTTCTGCACTAACCTTCTGTCTGCTAAGGGACACTACTAAACTACTAAAAGTGATACAAAGGGAATGACAAACCGCTTTTCTCCTTTTATGTTTTATTCCAATGAATATTTATTCCAATGGAACATAGCACCCTCACTTTGGAAACAACAGTTACCTTATTACCATTCTACAGCTGCATGAAATTTTCACCCAGAAATTTGTCTGGTTTTGTGCTCTAGTCTGTCTCTCTCTCTCTCTCCTTCTGGAACCTGTGATTTTTCTCCATGTGAAAATTCTTGTAGACAATAATCAAGTCACCTCTCAGCCATCTCCAAGCTAAGCTAAGCAGATAAGAGTCTTTAATAATCTCCATGGCAGGCATTTTGGGGTTTTCCCACCCCCCTGCATCTGAACTCTGGACCATTTAAATATATTGAAGGTATATTAGTTGGTGCCATTTTAAAAATGACACTTGAGGCCTGAATGGTGGAGTTTTCGTGACATTTTCTTACCTTTAACATATACTTCCTAATCTCTTCTGATGGCAGCAGACTGGTGGTTGAAGTGAGACCAGATAGCAAAAATACCAGCACTGCCAAAAGAGTTTCTTAAAGCTGATGGGTCACCCTTGTAGCTTCACTAAAGCTCTTTCTGTTCTCTGTGTTTAAGCCTTCATTTTAACAGCTGATGTTCCTGAAGGGTAAATTGTTTCAGTACCAACAGGTGAAATAAATAAATGGATGAGTAAAGCAAATAACTGAGTGTAACAGAATTTAGAAGAGAGACAAGAGCCCAGGCAACGATGTGACAATTAGAAGGTCTGGGTAAATGCACTGGAAATCACTAGTCTTCCTTTGCATGCCTTAGCAAGGAGACTATCATTAAAACTGAAGCTGCAAAATTCTACAGTAGGGAAAGAGTTAGGCTTTGCAGCTGCAGCTGTTTTTACCAGTGACCACAGACCCTGAAGGACAGGAAGAATCAATTAGGCAGGAGTGTGCCAAGCCAAAACAATGCACAAGCTTACCACAGATGGTGAGTCACCAGCCTCTTAATAAACTAATTTCCTCAGCAAAAAATGGAATTGATCTCAGGCCAGCTTTGGTTGTTTAGAAAAAAAAATCAAAGAGCTCCTGTCCATCTAGATGAATGTCCATCTAGATAATCCTTTTTTACCATCTTGTCTCCAGACAGCTGGAGTATGGCACCTTTAACAGACAATACACTGAAATTATCTGTGAGTAACCTAAAAAGCTGGACATAGCCTAAAATCCTTGTCTTCAGCTCTCCTTCACAGCTTTTAATGCAAAATCTTTGCTTCTTGTGATCTTCAGATGTTAGTTGTTATTGCAACTGCCTCTTATTTGTCCTGCCTGTGGTGTTCAGCCAGCAGCTGTGAAGATGATGCTATTCAGGCATACAACAAGATTTTCTGAGCCTCAGGACAATTCCCATGGTATATTGTTGTGGGACGTAAAAAGAGCGTGAAGTGAACTAGGATGGGATAAAGGAGGGGAAAGATACAAGAAAGAAATGAATGTTGACTAAAGAGCAAAATTCAGACTAAAGAACAAGTGGGAGGGGAATTGTTGGATACTGGTTTGGTTTTTTTAATAATTTCAAACAAGGGGGGGAAAAAAAAAGCATGGTTACTTTCTCATTAAATGCAGAGGTTTAAGATAGTTGCCAGTGGAAGTTTCTTAAAAGGGTTGTGTCTTGATTAGGCATTTGAGTATATTCTGGAAAACCTTCCTCTCAGATATATCATTTATTAATTTTCTAGCATTGGAGGGACAGACTATCATCTGCCTGCTGAGGGTCTGCCATGACCCATGGCTTCTTAACCAGGTCCTCTGAAAAGTTAATATGTGTCCAACAGTGAATGAACTTGGCTCATTCCTGGTCATGGTCATATTACAAGAAGAATTAAAAGTGGGAATGGAAGAGAAATCCTGGATTTTTTTTATTTCTTTTTTCTCTTCAGTTTTCCTATTTGGATGTTCTTGTGAATGATTGTGGTTCTCCAGAGAAGCCTCCTTTTTAAACTGCTGGGCTTATAAAGATAGGTGTACCAGATTTATTTGCCTTCCTACCAGAGAAGGCTATAAACCCACAAGATGGACCTGTGGGGCAGAAACATGGTAAGAGAAAGGTGGAATAGCTCATGGTAGATGCCGAGGTGCAGAGGAAGAGGATGGGGAGGGACATGCATGTCCCAGTGATGAAGGACCATGAGGAGTTTCTTTCATGAACAGAGAAAATAAAGGAAGGACAGAAGTGGGAGTAGGACAGGAGCAGCTGGCAGGAGAAAAGAGGCATGAGACTGCCTATGGTCAGAGCAGAAATCCTACGAACAACATTCTTGAAGTCCAAGTTTGCTCGGTTATGCTTGCTTGGACCTAAATCATATGCTGTTTCTCCATTTCTGGTACCACATGCTGTTCCTGCAAGGAAGCTGAGCCAGACCTTTGTGATGCTGCCAGGTCTGATGACAATCTAGATGTGAACGCCAGTGTAACTGTGTGCAGACTCAGATGTAATGCCAGGGAAGCAGAACCAATTCCTCTAGGTAGGAGGGGTTGATTTTGCTTTTCTGGTCACTAGTAAGTCCAGAAAACAGAAAAAGCTGTGCAGGCTTCTTGCCAGAGACTGGCAGCTTCTAGAGGAATGGTACCTTGGAAGATCTCAAGGGGGCATGGGAAATTCATACTGAGAAAGCTTGTATGAAAGCACTCATTTGTCTGGCACTGAAATCTTATATTTGTCTAGTGGGTGAACTGTGTGAATGATGGGCATTAAAGGTTTACTGTTGCTTCCCAAAACAGACATTTGTGTATTCAGGCTACACCAAGATAACTGTTCCAGGTACAATTTGAGCAGGTAACTGTGTGCTTTTACTGTGACCAACACATAGCATTCAAACATGGCCAGTGCTCGGAGACTGGAAAGGAATTATGCAAAAAAACAAGCAGAATAATTTTTGTTTTTCTCTTCTTTTTATTTCTTTATAAAGAAAGGAAAGGATGGGCATGCCAAACCAAAATGGCAAAGTACAGACAAAGATGAGCACTGAGGCTTCTCCTTGGGGGTCATCCACAGTAAACTCTTGCCTTGGTAGGGTACAGCTCCCCATCCCTCCTGCCAGGAGGAACCCAGCATGCAGCCAGCCCTTCAGCACAATCACAGCTCTTTGAAGTTAGTTTGCACAGTTTCACAATACCGTCAGCCCACGTCATGGTGGGGCAGCAGCAGCTGAGGCCAGCAACATTAGCAGCAGCAACATGGGATACAGTGCACAGAAAAAAGGGAGCAAAGAGCTTGTTTGCAAACAATTGTAGGTAACAATATAGAAAGTCCAAAGATCATCATTCTGCTATAAAAATATTACACTTCATAAAACCATGTACTATAAAAAAAATCTATTCAGAAACGCTGGTAAACATAACAAATATCTGTACACTGGCTGCCCTTTCCATACAGGAAACATAAAAAGCGTGAGCCTCAGAAATCATCATTTTGTAAACATGAATATGGAGCCGGTAAACAAAGTGCTAGATCATGGTTCATATTTTGTCAATTTAATACTACCCAAGTAAATCCTTTACAGACGTCATCACCTAATGGCCAGACTCCACTACTGCAACAGGAAAGAGGACTTAGAGCTCTCCCACGAGAGTCACTGAAGGTGCATATGGATTAAGGAATTAACACAGGAGTGAAGGCAGCAAGACTTGGCTCTGAGTAGCAAATCAGAAACAATATTTTAGCAACTGGTTTTCATTTTCTGCACTTCAAATGCATATTTTCCAGCCTCTCCTTTCAAAACTTGCCTTCATCAAAGAAGGCATGCATTTTCCTTATTTTCCTTTCAGGCTAAAGCATCTCTGAAAAATTTGTCCATAATATCCATTTAGGAGACATAATGGAGCACAAGCTGACTCTGTAACTATGTATACCAAAGCAAGAAGTAGTGGTTGAACAGTTCAACACTGAACATTGTGGTTTACATCATACGGGATGACAAAAAAAGGCCAAATTCTTAACTTTAGACTCCAAATTTTGGGCTGCAAATGTTGGCATCACATCTCCATGTGCAAGATTTGTGATGACATGCATGATCAGATGCTGGCTAACATACATGGGTTATCACACAGTTGCACCTGGAAATGCAAGGTCTAGGTTCATGAAAATCTGTGAAGAGAGTTTAGATAAAATTTGGCTCTAAGAAATTACTGTAACTTTATTTACTCTGTAACATTTTTGTTCTGCACAGGCTTCAACCCACCCTTCACCTGAATACTATGAGTTTTAGTTCTGCTGTACACAATGAGAACCTTACTTTTAACTTCATCTTCAGAGTTTAAATTCTCATGTTTTTGCTAACTTTTGGAATAGGAGAGGGTGCACAATTGTGTGTGTTTGCTGTGGACAGGCATGGAGGGAGGAATGTGGGACTGTGTTCACACAGGAACTGAGGTACCCGAAGCAGCTTAGCTGCCTTGTTTTTCAGGCAACACAAGACTTCAGGGTCAGCTAGGAGATAAGAATATACACTTCTAAAGGAAAATTATGTATACTTGAAAAAAGAAAAGGAAAAATTGGCTTGCACATTTCACTTTTTTTTTTTTAATTAACTATACTAAAGCATCTTATTAAGATTATTTTAGGCCTTTTTATTTTAATGTAAGGAATATCTGAGGGTTGTGCTCCTTGCTTGTCTTTTAGGATGCAGATATGTAAATCTGGAGCTCACATGGCTCTTGCTTTACAGTGTCATTTCTGGATGTTCAACAAGAGAACTTTGCTTCTAAATATTTGCTTTGGCATTTCTCATATACACATCCTACAAGAGAGCTTCAAAACACCTGCCTGAAAATAATTTTCCAGTGAAAGCTACAATGTATTTTCTGCTATAGTAATCTCCTGTATCTTCTGTGTTTGACTCTTCTGTGTTGGATCCAGAAAGCTGTAGCATGCCCCAAAATCAAGAAGTTCCTCTGTAAAAATGGATGATTTAAAAACAAACCCTAGGTTTTTTCTATCACTCTTATTAAGTGAATGGCAGCAAAAATACATACAGTAAACATTATGTCCCCATGACATGCCATTTGTGGCCCTACACCTTCTGGTTACAGTGACTTTGCATGAACTTGTGGCCAATTTTCAGAAGCCTGGACTTGTGCACCTCTCTGTGCACAGGGCTTGGCACTGGGAACCTGCTACTGTACAAACATCACATCATTTATATCCCTGACTCTGAGCCACACCTGGGCTCTGCTCAGCATAATGCAGCAACAGAGGGACAGAGGTGACACTGAACTTGTAGCCATGCCAATGTGTTGACAGCACTGTTGGCTAAACTGATTCTGTTGCCTTCCTGCTGTCCCCAGCCATTTGTTCTGACGCACAAACATTTGCTTTGCCCCAGGTGACCTGGCTAAGAGAGGTGTGAAAGGACAGATGGGCAGCTGAAGTCAAGAGAAAGTGACTGACTGCCATTTTTAGTGTCAGCACTTGCATATGTTGGCGTAAATTCAGTAGACCAGCAGCATAAGAAACCTTTGTGCCATCCATGGCTCAGGGGATGAGCCAAGCCCTGTCATAATTCATATCACAGACACACAGCAATTGCGTACTTGACTGCGGTTTGAATGTATTCAGAGGTACCAGAGCTGGGTGCAAGTTGGAGAGAGCTGAAAGGGTCTGGCTGAAAAGAGAGCCCAGTATTACATCCAGGGTTAGATGAAGTACAGGGACACAGAATATGTACCTTGTAAGAGTGTCACATGTGATGTCATGATGTCATGCTACACAAAATGTGCTGCACTCAGCTCCCTCTGCTTGGGCTATCCCCAGCACCCTGGGCTCTCAAGGAACTGAAGATTTTTTTTCTTTTTTCTGAGGAAACAAATGAGAATCTGTTCTCAGATAAACTTCTTTTTCAAATGCAGAGATTTATAACAATGTGTCCAGGAGGGTCACTTGCCATTTGCTGAAATAGTTAGGCTTTATAAATGCTATCTTCTATTAAAACTTGCTTATAAAAAGTTAAACAGATTTTAAATAAGAGAAAATTCCTAAGGGGCTGGGGCAGGGGTCAGCTCTCCATTTGAGTAGCATCTCCCACACCTCTGCCCTATAGACAAGCTGTGGTGCTGTGTAGGAACTAGGGCAATGCTTCCCATAATATTCTTCATCAGGGCCCTTTGGTTTCTTCAGGGTCCTGGAGCTGCAGAGTTGGGATCCAGCTCTGCAAAATGTGGAGATATGCCTCCTCCTTGCTGCTCTTCTCTCCTGGGACTGAACAACAAAAACTGCATGGATGTGGTCCTGTGCCACCTGCTCTATGTGAGCCTTCTTTAGCAGGGTGGTTGGACTAGATGGGTTCCAGAGGTCCTTTCTAACCCTTCTGTGACTGATTTTGAAGTGGGTCTCCAGATGAGCTATGTCTGTGACAGGTACACTGTGGTATGCCTTGGACTCTCATTGCATTGTGCAACTTGATGGTTAAAAATGTAACTATAATATTTGTAATAGCCTAAGGCACTAGGTCACTTTATGGATTAAAAACTTGCAAGATGGTATGTTCTAATTCAAAGACATTTTTAGACTGTCAGGAGTTAAACATAACATTTAGTAAGTCTCTTAAGGTTGTATAGAGAGATAGAGAGAGAAAGAGAGGCTAAGCCTTTTTCAGTATTCTCCTAGAAAAAGAAAAAAGTGCTTATTGCTAAGCAATACCATGGCCAGGAGTCCAGAAAGGAGATGCTGGTGTAAAAGCAGCCATTGCAGTAATTAGGCCACAGCTTAGCATCCTCTCCTGGATCCAGCTGCGCCAGGGGAAGTGGTGGGTGCTATCAGTCTGAAATAATGACTTCCAGTGGCATATTCCTCCCTTTCTGCCTCCCTTGGATTTGCTGATGGAAGCTCTTGTATTTCAGTCCAAGTGAGTCAGAACAGCAAAACTGACAGTGGAAAAAGTTTAATTGGGTTCACTTGACTGGAACAGGTCAGAAAACCCTCAGAAGAGTACGTCCCATGGCAGGACTGCAGAGGTGAGACTGAGCTGCCCTTGGAAGTGCATGGGGGCACACATCTGGGACAGAGGAGAGGCTGGATGGTGCAGTTTCTTCCCTGTATGGGCACAGCCTTTTTTTCTACACCCAGAACTGTTATCAATGACAGATTTCAAAGAACACTGCAGACAAAACTCTCCAAGTATCAGCTTCTGACTACACTTCTACCCTTATTTGGACAAGCTGGGACAGCACCTTTTTTGTGCATGTGTTTACATACAGACACATATGGATTCAGTGGCAATAAAACCTTAATAAACAAAGCCTGCTATGTGTATGGGTTTAGAGTTATTTATAGGCTTATAAAGTAATTAATGAGCATTAAGATGCAAGAGTCTGTATGTGTCTCTATGTTAACAGTTGGTGGGTTAGAAAGAGGTAAGTTGGGAAGAGATTCAAACCCTTAAACTTTGGGAAGAGCAACATCCTGTAAGCTTGGCCTACAATAATATTCAGTTGAAAAAAATGCTCAGAGAATTAAGACTGAGTATATCTAGAGGGAATTAGACTTTTTCCAGTGGTTGTGAAAGAAAACTGGAGCAATGCAAGATGACCAGGAAATCCCAGAGGGAGACAAAAAACTGTACATAGTATTTTCAACAGTCTTTCCGTTCATATACAATACAATACAATTACTCTGGCCATTAAAAAACCATTTTGTTAAAACAGCACATATCAGCTGGGACCTCAGAAAATCCAGCCCTCCCTCCAGGCTGCCCTATGCATCCTTATGCCCACCTTGCCTTGTGGCAGGAGAGAAGTCACTTCAAGGGAAACAAGGCCTGGCCGGAGCTGTTCTGCACCAGCCAGGATAACCCTGCAGGTGGATATCCTCATGGTGTGCTGTTAGCAGAAACGTGTGAGATTTAACTTCTAACAAGCAGAAAATTCTAAAGGCAGCAAAAAGCCGACACTGAGCACAGCTTAGCCAGAGGAGAGAATGTGGGCTGCTGTGTACAGAAGCACAGACACCCACCTGTGCGTTTGCACTCATCAGTCCCAGCCAATTCAGCCTCTGTGTGAAGTTTCACAGCATTGTTTATTTTAGAAAAGAAAAGGGCTTCAAGGAGAGCTGCTTTGCAGCGATCCTGTGTGCACAGCACATAAACTTGAACATTAAATATTAGTTTAAATTATTAAGAATAAATTTAAATTTAAAAATAGACTAATGCAAACAAACAAACTTCAGTCAACTTTGAAGCAGAGATAGTTTTAGGAAGAATATTACTATAGCAAATGAAACCCCTTGGACACTCTGAGGCAGTGATCTGGTAATTCCAGTTCAGCACCAAGATGCACAAACTACCCAGCAAGCAAACATTACCATGTCTAGCATATGAAGCTCCATGTTCACATTTTTCTTTTTTTTTTCTCCCCTGTCACAACAGAAAAAAGCCAACACAGCACAGTAGCTTTTCCCACAAAGCATCTGAGGTGACAAAATTCACTCAGAAAACAAAAATTAACAAAAGCAGTACAAAGAAGAATCCTGGTCAGCTTGTGACCACCAATAAGCCAAGATGGGTAAGAAAAAGAATAAAAAAATAGTTCACATCTGGCACCACAAACCTTGCCTGCATTCTTTGAAACCAGGGAATGAGAAAAAAGTCCATTTTGCAGAGACCATTTCAACAAAAGTTTTCTTTCCCTGAACCTGGAAAATCTAGGTATTAGGGCATAGAATTTTTGTTTTATATGTATATAAATACACATGTACATATTCATATAAATATAAAAGCAGAGCATCCTCCCATTTCTCCTCATAACCTATTATTATTAAAGCTTGTAACAGAGTTGGCTGAACTCTTCAGAAGTGGGTACTCTCTGCACACACGTGGCATGGGGAGTTTAGCTCTGCTAGAGCAGAACACCCAGGCAGGGACATGAAATGCTGGGTGATGGAGGCAGATTTGGGTCAACAGCCAGGGAAGGGCAGGGAGCAATGACTGGAAATGGGCTCTCCTGTTCCAGTGTGGCACTCTGGAGTGCTGGTGAGCAGTCTGGGCAATGGTGTGGGAGGATGGCTGCGCAGACCCACTTGGCCCCTGGGAGCCCACCCGCCCACTGTCTTCTGCACTAGCCACTGAAGAGGGACTGTCCCCTGCTTTGAGAGGGAATCACTGACCCCCAGCCACTTGCACACTAGTTGCCTTTGAATTATTTTGCCTATTGTCCTCAAAGCCACTCATGTCTTTCCCTGCCTATGTTTGATTCCCCAGCCCCTCACCTAATCCTCCCAGACCAGCTTGCTTGCCAAGACCAGACACCTTTCTCTTGCCTGATCCACAGGCTCCTACTCACCCTGCTTTATGTGAATGCCTTCCCACAGTCCCATAAGACCCATTCTTTTCCTCAGAAGACCGAGTTCCTCAGAGATTTTTTGCTCTCTGAGACTTTTGAGCAAGTCAGAGCTGGTGACACACTCTCCTTGAGAGGTGCTAGCTTCATCCCAGAGAAGGCAGGGGCAAAGTGCAAAAGTTTCCTCCAAAACAGAAGGTATTTCCACCACCAGCTCTCTCTACCTCATGATGTATAGCACTTGTTTCAAATAAGGTGTTACTCATGTGTCTCTGCAGCCTTCACTCTCGCTGGGGTGAGTGGAGATCAGTAGATGTCTACTGGTGACCAGCCAAGTCACTTCATCGTGACACATGCTGGAACGGCATTCTAACCCAACTGCGTTCTTCGTAGCAAAAAGTGCTTTTCTTGAGAAACAAAATGAAAACTGTTCCCATGGAACATCTTATGGATTCAAAAATAGTTTTTCTAGGGTGGAAAGGATGGAGCTTGCCTATTTTGTTTGGCTTTATCTCAGTAAAGAAACAGAGCTACTGGCAAAACTGGCACATCTTTGTGAAGTTGTTAAACTCAGGACCCTGGCTGGAATGTAAAAGAGAAGATGTAGCAAATGAGAACTTTGCCTTACGTGGGTTTCTGCTAGTTCTTTCATGTGCAGGTTGTCCAAGAAAGTTCTGCTAGCCAAGTAAAGATGAATTTTTCAAATAATAAACTGTGGGTTTTCAAGGAGGCCTTTTGGGGGTACTGCTACAATCTGGTAGAGGTAAGTCTCTTCATGCCTCGCCGCTGAGCCAGATTGGAGGACAATACAGGCTCCAACCTTGGTGCCTGAGGTGCTCGGTTTAAAGCAAAGTAAGTGGCTGCCATTGCACCCTGTAAAACAGAGAGAGAGAAAACTTTGAGCTGGAATTCAATTCTTTGATGCTTTTTACTTCCCCTATTCAGTATCCTAAAAAACTGTCACACATGCACAATTTCCATGAGATGATAACACTTAGGCTGGCAGACAGCTAGAGTGTCTCAGATTCAGAATGGTGAAGAGCAGTGTGTGCCACCAGGTTATTACAATGCAGCCTAAAGTTAAAAATACTGAGTGGGCGACAGTCAAAAATACAGTTAATACGCTGACATATTAAATTTAGCCTCTGTGGCAAATAATCTTCCCAACTCCTCTATCACTTTTCAGACTATTTACACAAATGACAGCTCATTCTTCAAGCAAGGAGGAGGAAAGGGTGGTACCTTGACCAGGTGAACATCCTGTCTGCTGAGTTGGTTTTGAGACAGGTACTCCCTGTTCACTATCCATGGATGTCTCAGGACTTGAACTGCTGTGAGGCGCTGATGAGGGTCTACATGAAGCATCTTAGACACAATGTCCTGGGAGGAAAAGGAAGAAAACAGGGAGAAAGCAATTAATAGCAGTGCAGTTTTACTAAGATCTTCCTGTTGACAGTGTCATCATTAGCATGTACAATGGAGAGAGCGATGCACTTTAGACAGGCTCTAAGTGTCAGGACTTATCTTCAAAATTTTCAAGTGTTATGTTCAGCCCTAAGTTAATAATCCAGTCAAAACATAATGTGGAGGGTATTCATTTTATTGAACGACTCTTATTTACTGGCAACCTTGAAGGAGTGATAAACACCTAGGGAGAGGACGCCACCTGGAGGCATCGCCTCTCTGACCTCGAGGCATGCTTACAAGAGAAACTTAGAACAGAAAGTCAACACTCAGGTAACTAAAGTTCAATTAGGCTAACTCTACAACATCTAAACATTTTAACTTCAAAAATGGACAGCTGATAAAAAAATCCACTGTGAGGCTCATTGGTGCTGATAGCAAGATAAATGTTACTAGGAATGCTTGCAGTTTTGTGGTGGAAAGTATTGATGTTTTTCCATTGGGTACTAACAGTTGCTAAAAATGAAATATCTTGCAAGAATCTTTAAAGCCTGTAGAAGCTTCTGATTAATTCTGGGCAACTGGAAGCTTGCAATTTTCCTGCCAATTTACCTGTCTCACAGACTAATGCACAGCTTCATGCCTAAAGATCTCAGCACCAGATGATTTTTTTTCTCCTGGGGTTTTCCTTGCCTTGTGATAGATGGGCAGCCTAAACTGTGAACTGTCCAGGAATTAAAACTGTCTGCTCCTGGTTAACTGGGAAGCAAAATGGTGATTCATGGATAGACTATACATCTGTGGCATTGACAAATATACACTTCCTGTAGAAGAGCAGTTGCACCAAAAAAAGAATTCTGTGGTATTTAAATCTTGAGAGAAAATCTGAGAAAGGGTTCACTGACCTTTGCAGTATCAGATACTGAATCCCAGTTTCCTCCTGTAAGAGCATATTTGCCACTGCCAATCCTGGCCAGAATCTCTTCTGGGGTGTCATCTGGTCCATTTGCAAAAGGAGTGAATCTATTAAAAACAAGCAAAACAAAAAATTATGTAATTTTCAAGTACATGATTTTTAGGTTCTAGTATTAACTGCCACTGATTACAACAGGAATTTGGTTCCAGAATGTACCACTGATACTGCTGCTTTATTTTCACTCAAACTGTACAATCTGGTGGCTCCTCATATTGATCTGTAGAGGAAAAGACTGATTTTTTCATTGTTTTTTAAATTTTTGTTGTGTTACAATTTTTTAGGAGTGAAATATTCTTTGTAAAAATAGTCAGGTTTTGACCTCTTGTTTTAACTCTACTTTATTGCCAACTCTTTTATTGCCAATACCAGTATCTTGGTAACAGCAAGAAAGGACAAAAGTTATAATGGAGAAGAAATACAATATGAAGCAGAAAAAAAGGAAAATAAAGAAGAACCCTTCTTAATCTATTTTGCAATGCTTTGTTAACCATAATATGCAAGTCAAAATTATTGGGCAAATAAATTACCTGCAATATGTTACTTCCTTGTCCAGCCAGTCCAAAATGACTTGTAACATGCACTCAGCTTGAGACAAAATCAGTATCACATGCAGAAGATACAATTTTTGTTTTCAGATAGTGACAAGAGACAAGGTTTTTGCAGTTGACTACCATCTACCAGGCCCATTTTTACTCTGCAATTTTGAACATCTGTGTAGGCTTACATGAGGTAGATATTTTTGATTTTTTTATATTTTTCTTTCCATCTGTCTTCTCTTTAAACTTGACAGAGCAGTTTTTAGATTGTTAAACAGTTGCTTTGGCCACAGCTTCCTATCCCACTTGCTTTCTGGTAGCAAATTCAATTCCTTGTGCAGTATTTTCTCATTTTCAAAAACACTTCAGACTTCATAGCAGTTCAGCCCAATGAGATAGATGCTATTCCAATCTATAGCTCTCGGGAAGGACGCAGTCAGAGCTAAGGACTGGTAAAAACTCTGAGGTCTATCACTAGCTGCACTAACGATCCCTGGCCTGTGCTCTAGTCCTGGCTGTCTGAGCCCTCTCTGCTCATATAAGAGGAGACAAAAGTCCTGGATGTAAATACTTGTCAGTTCCTACTAATCTCCTGTGGTGAGGAAGAACAAAACCATTCATAAATGCAATGGTGGCACCTAAAAAAGCATTCCTCAACTGATTGTGTTACTATTATTTTCTCTGATAGGTGCAGAAAAAGTGAGATACAAGTTACTGGCACCTGTAAGTAAACTGAATATCCACTAAGTTGTGCTATTTGTATTCCCAATTCAATTATATTTGAATTTTTTTCCTTCATAGTCAACAAAGAAGAATTCTGAATATAATCAACCGAACAAATGTAACTGTGGGTAATGTGTTAATTTTATTTTACTGATTCCAGCTGTGTAGCAGTCCAGGGCATCAGCCCTGTGCATTCATCACCAAATAGAAACAGGTTCTTGGACATCCTAGTAGACTGGGAAACTTCCCCAGAAAGTTTTGCTATATTTCAGCTGACCTGGATCACATCTATAGTCAAGAATAAAATAGATGAGATAGAGACCCCTTTCCTATAATCCACAAGGCAGAAAATGCAAATAACAGAAATTCAGAGTCCAACTCTTTGTTTTCTGTATAAAACCTAGGAATGAATCCAAGCTTCTTGTCACAGCTGAATGATTAGATTAAACAGTTTAGAGAGGTCACTGAAAAGCTGCAAGCTGAGCTTAGGTGTGATAAATGTGCTCATACCATACTCTGAGAAATGAAATTCAGGGGCCTGATAACTCTAGATTACGTTTGCACACTTTGTTTCCCAATCATCCCTGCACATCTTATTCCTATCCTTCACTGCTTATTTCAATCTGTGTCTTTCCCTGGATCTTCCTGTTTTAATATTTCACTTTAGCCAACACATAGGAGTATTTTTGCCAAGTACCTCTCAAAAGTTTCTGCTGCCTGTTGCTATTCTTGCTGATCTCTTAGTTTACTTTCTGAATCATATTTTTCAAATAGGATCTGAACTCTACTTTTGGGGGTGTTTTTTTTTTAGCTTTTAGAGGTGCTCAGACACTTCAACAACAATAACAAATGACGAAAAATGAAGCTGAAGAACAAGATGATGATACAAGTATCAGTAGAATGAATTAACATTCTTCCATGGATAAGGTGAATATGATGAGGCTCTTTATACTTCTACGCATCTCTCCTAATGGAAAACTTTCCCACTGCTCAAGTGGTGAGTGAACCCTTTAGGAGTCTAGGTCTCAGTGCATACAGGTAGTTTCTGTTAGAAACCTAAACAATTTGTAAAGTGTCAAAGATATTTATGCATTCTAGAAAAAAAAAAACTTATTCTAAGTCTTGGCATCTATTTTCTTGTTTTATACAACTGAATACACTTCTCAAGGAGGCCTGAATCCCTATCTGTGACTCCTTTCAGGCTTAATCAGTGCTGCAGTGCTGAGCCCACTGGAGGCTGCTGCTCTAGGAGAACCTCGTCACTCACCCTGCCAACATGGTGTACAGCAGGATCCCCAAGCTCCAAATGTCACAGGCTGCATCATAACCTTGGCGTTTAAGGACCTGCACGAAGGAAAGAGGGAGATGAAAATAGGTTAATCTGCATTCCTGAATTTTTAGCTTCCATTCTACAAAAAGCACTGACTAGTGCTTGTGCCTGCTGACATTCCAATAGCTGCATATCTGCCTGGAACAGGTGGCTGCCTTGGGATCAAAATGTCCAGTGGTGCTATGGAGCAAAGCAAAGCCCAGGCTGAAATGAGCTGGTTAAACTCAGCACATCTTTCCTCTTCACAGTGAGAGAGAAGAGTGCATTTTTTTGGAGCTCAGAAGTCTTGGAACTCCTCTGACCATCCAACTTGCAGCAAAGCAGAACAATATTTCACTGTTTTAAAATGTTTCTTAAATAAAGAGCTCATTAATACTTTAAAACATATCCTTCAACATAAAAGTTACCAACAACACTGTGGATGCATATGACAGTGATAAGTATTCCAAGTATTTGGATTTGATACAGCAAATGGATGCACACTGAAGCCTATCTAATGTCAGACTAATGAAGATGCATGTTAAAAGAAGATACGTCTTCTGTATAAAGAAAAGTGGGCACATTTAGACTGGAGTTAACAGCAGGGTAAAACTTGGCCCCTTTTTCCCGTGGGGCAAACAAGACCCATGGAAGTCAGCAGAGATCTGACCACTAGGTTCAATACCAATACAGGATGGTAAGGTGTAGCAGTAAGGGTAAAGTCCAGATTTCATTTGTGCTAGTGCACACTAGAAGAAATACCTGTGTGGGTCAGTGCAGGTCCAAGTGAAAGTGAAGTCACCAACCTTTATATCTTCCCACAAAAGCAAATTACCCTCTGTTTATTCAGTTCTGACACACAAGGAGTTTTGTCCTCTTTAGATGGACCAGTAGATAGATATTTTTGCAAAGCACATGAAAAAGGAATGTACAAATTCAGCAAGTCTTTCTCTGACCTGCATCCCTATTACCCAGGAGTGATTTAAGCATCTGAATTCTATCACAGAAAAGACCAGATTCTGCTAAGGAAAAACAGTTTGAGAAAATGTTGCCTTGACAGATTTTATAAATGATGAGTGGCAAAGCAGCCATCTGCCAGGTATGCTGCTAAGCGAACATTTGCTACCTGGGAAAAAAACCCAACAAACAAAAAAACTCCCGCAGCAAAAAAAAAAGAATCCCAAACCAAAAACCAAAGTAAAGCAAGCAAACAAACAAACAAAACCCCAAAAAATAAAACCCCAAAACAAACAAACAAACAAACAAAAAACCCCCAAAACACAGAAAAAACTACAGGTCTTCCTGTTCACAAAGCTGGTAAAATCGTGCTTCTGCCTCTCTCTCCTGAACATAATATAAAGGATATCTGGTTGATTTATTCATTTGTATTTCTTTAGTTCCTGCATTCATTCCCCCTGTATTAATGTCAGTTTTTATGGGAAAAACTTCTTTGAAAAACTGTTGTATTTCACTCCTTCTGTTTTCCTCCAATCCAAGGACAATCAAGTCCAAGGAAAGTGAGAGAAAAATGGGGCAGTGATGATACTTAGTGGAGTGGGTTAATAAGTAAGTGGTTACACAACCCCGAAATTACTGGGTCACTTCCAGAACTTAGTGGGATCTGAAAGAGAGTCAGAAACTGGTTTTTAGTGCCACACCATAGCAGGACATTGTGGGGATAATGGGTATCCTGGAGATACGATACCCTGGGTTCGTCCAGTTCTGAGAATGGCTCAGATATTTGTCCAACCCCCTTTTACTTCTGTAGGCTTTGACTTACTGGGTTCACAATGTTTACAAATAGAGGTTTTTCTCAGTTGTTACAAGCAGGTATGCAAATGGTACAGAAAGAAAATAAAAAAACCTCATAATTTCAAATCAAAAAGCAGTAGTTCTTCACAAATTCTGTAGGAAAACTGCAGGATAAAACATTTTTATTTTATCCAGGATCACCCTACTGCATCAGTAGTACAACAGTCTGGCTCTTTGCTCCTCACATGCAGCACAACTCGCACTAGGTGGCAGCGTGCCTCTTTCAAGCCTTCATCTTTGCTCTTGCTATCACCTAAACCCCAAATTAACTGATTCCAAAATAAGGGGTGATCCAAGTGGGCAAACATGTCCTCCTTCTTTGGTCACCGCCCTCTTTGTCACCAGCTCAGCTGACTTTCTGCCTCCTTAATTAGTTTCATGTGGCAGACGTTGCAGTCAGACTGAGAAAGGGAACCTGAAAGTCAAAGCTGGGCTGTAGGGCAGCATTATATCACAGGTAGAATGTAAAATCAATTAAGGCTTTATGTAAGCTCTCTGCCAGTTCTGGTAATGCTTCAATTAATCTTCAATGTCTCCTGCATTAGCAGGAACTGTCTTACTCATCACGAATGTCTGGGAGTGTGATGTCTGCTTTCAGTTTAAATCAGAAGAGTCTGATCTGAAAGTGGCAATGTTTGTGATTACAGACACTACACACAATAGCCCATCAAGAAAAACAGCTACACCTATTTTAAGCATCTTGTACCTTGGAGGAAATCGGAGTGCTTCAAGTCTTGCAAATATGATTGTTTTTGTGGTTTAGAAATTGAATGGCTGTGGTGCCACACAACTTTTTCAATCTACTTTGATAAATTTTAAACAGATCCTTCCTATTTCTAAAATGGAAGGCTAACAAAACTGTAATAAAACCCCCAAACCAATCTGTCTTGGCAATGGAAGGGTTTTTTTTTTTTTCTGAAGAAAAATCTGTTTTGAATTTATACCTCCCTGGCAATGGTCTCTATAGAACAAATTCTCCTTCTGATGCTTGGAGGCTATGATTCCTGTGATAACTTTTGGTATCATGAAAGGACCTTGTACAGAAAGATCATCCTAATCTTCTCTTCCCAGTCACAGATGAACATTGCATGGGAGAAAGAGAAGACTTAGGGAGAAAAAAAGATTGCTAGATGATACCAGCTGAGAGACACTGGTATTTGATAACAGAGAACAGATGAAGTATTGAAAGACAGTAGTTTTTTGTTTTTCTTATAAGGACCAAAACAAGCAAAGGAAGACACACATATGAAGTAGTGTATTGCAAGTACTAAAATTTTTGATTTTCATCACTCCCAGAAATGGGTAATTACCCAAGAAATTAACTTCTAGCTCCTTCATTGTGAGGAAGCAGAGATGAACATCTCATGGGTCAAATACAGCAAAGAGCCCAAGCCATGAAACAGTTGTATGACCCAAGCCCACTCTTGCAGGGCTGCATGAAAGGATCAGCACATGCCAGTGATGCAGAGCCACCTCTCCCTGTGCTTGGGACAAGCTGTTTGGTCTTCCTCCACTTTCCTGTCTGTAAAAATGAGAAAGCATATCCTACATCCCCCAGAACAGGGGGGGTTGGTACTAGGAGAGTCCAAAGGGAGAGATATTTCTTGAGCTCAGTGAAGCCAACAATAAAGCTCTCATTGATTTCACCATAGTAAGGATTTAGTGCAAGGATTTTTCTTTTCATTTGTATCATAGAATCATGGAATGGTTAAGATTGGAAAGGTCATATCGTTCAACCTCCCTGCTCAAGCTGGGTCCCCTAGAACACTCAGGATTGTGTCCAGATGGCTTTTGGATATTTCCAGAGAAGGAGACTCCATAACATGTCTGGGCAACCTGACATCAAGATTTCCCTCTTAAGCCTTAATCCTGTTCTGATGCAGTGCACTAGAGGGAAAGAAGTCTGATCAGAAGCAGCTAGAGAAAAAAAGATACTTATCCCAGTAATGAGCCAAAGCATTGTGTGCACCAGTCCAAGACAGACACCAGCTTCTGTCAGGAGAAAAACAACTGCCGTGACAGGACTAGGAACAGGAAAGTTACTGTAATAGAGGCTGTGCAAGTGCCAGTAGCTTGGTTTCTGCCTTGCTCCTCTTGTAAAGGCAGCAAGGGAGGAAGGACTGCTTCCTAGGACTCACTTTCTACTGCAGGCTTTGAAATGTGATCCTACCTCAGGAGCGACAAAGTTGGCTGTGTAGCAGGGAGTCATGAGCAGCCCGTTCTCCGCTCTGAGTTGCTTGGCAAACCCAAAGTCACAGATCCTGATAGAGTCTGGGTTTCCTGACTCATCCATGTAGAGGATATTACTTGGCTTGAGATCTCGGTGCACCACCTTAAGAAAGAACAGTGAGAAACAAGTGAGAAGAGGAGGTCAGGGAACACTGGGGCTTGGCTGCCATTTCTGGTCTGCTGGTTGAGGTAGGTCAAGAACTCATGCTGAAAATATTTAAGTTTTGGAAAAAAAAGTTACTTAAAAGCCTTGGACAAATGAAGGAGAAAAGAAAAATAAAGTCTGTTTAAATGAAAAACAAAATGTTTGACAGCCTCTGTGGGTGTATTAAGATGGAGGCTGCTGCTCTAAGAGGAGACAACTTCCTAAGGGTGGACAAAGTGGGCAGTTGTACAAACATCTTCGTGGCAGAGTCTTCTGGAGCTTGATGGCCTTGAATACTGAACTGAAAGGTGAAGAATAAATCACATCATGGGAGGAAAGTGTGTAATGTTCTAGTGACTGTCCATGTGAGTGGCTCACACCTGAAAGGAGGAATTAATTTCTTTCCTAATTTCAAAATGTATTCACACAATTTTATGTGACTGTATGTTTTACCAGACATGCTGAATATCAGTGGCAGGAAAACAGCCCTTATTTGTTATAGCAAGACTGAAAAATTACCATGAAAGCATAGAAGCCAAAGCACAAAATGCACTTTGTTTGAACCTTGAAGCAGGAAAAACAGTAAATATTTGACTAGTTATCCAAACTGCTTGTCCCTGAAATGCAGAAAAGGAGAGATTTTCAAACTGTTGCATATAAAGATCTTAGATTTTAAAAGTCAGATTTTAACAGCATGTCAGAAGTCTTTCCCATCAGCTGCTCAAACTGCCACGTTGTTTGGAGAGCTGAGCATTTGACTTTCTACCTATTTGCTGATTCAGCTACCATATTTGAAGTGTTGCTAAAAGTTCAGGTCCTGCAGTAATGATTGTGATAAAAAGTAAACAACTAATATCTTTAGAAAGTACATGAACTTGAAAATCACTGTAGTGTGGGGAAAGAAAATACTACTTCAACATGCTTCAGTTCAGTGAAAGATGGATAAAAAGCCAATGACCCTATTTCACAAACCAAATGTAATTATAAATATGGAGGTAGGTTTTTGGTGGAGAGGCAGGGGGGAAATATATTTACATTTCAGAGAAGCAAAATCACAACTATTTGATATTTCAAGAAGCTGAATTTTAAGGAGGTTGATGCAGCTAAGCCAAAAAAGCAACACTTACGCCCTGAGAGTGTAGGTAGTCCACAGTCCTGGTGATGGTGCACAGCACAGCGCTGGCCTCCCGCTCTGAGAAACACTTCTGCCGAAGGATGCGGTCCAGCAGCTCGCCTCCCCGCATCAGCTCCATCACCAGGTACACAAATTTCCCATCATCATAGACCTGGAACAGTAACAAAATAAATACATCTCTTGGAACCATCAACTTGATAAAGGTTGATCCTTTAATCGTAGTGTCGGCTTGCTAGTGTGTGAATTTGCAAGAAGAAAATGCCAGCAAATGTGTGGGAAATGGGCTTTTTATGCTCAACAACTAAAAAGAAAACTTCATAAAATGACTTAATTCATCACTTTTTTTCTTGTGTCAGGAGCAGCTTGCTTATTTGTCCACACAGAAATGTAGCTTTCTGGTTTTCTATCATGCCAACAGAGCAGGCTCAGCTGTTAAAAACAGCACCACTCCACACAGCTTCAAATGTCTGCTGGCTCTCACCCAAGCATTCTTCTCAGTAGTGTTCTCTCTTTCCACTTCCACAGGGTAACATTTGCCATTCCAAATATCAATATTTCCCTTTGACTCATGATCAACTAAGGAGTTGTATTACACTGTTGGCCAACACTTGCATCTAATGTTATTATATAGTTTGTATTTGCAGTTCTGGTGAATATATTGTTGGTATCAGCTGCAAGATATATTTACATTCAATGTCAATGAGAGTTGGTAAAAGACATTTTATCCTTTAAATTGGAGGACAATTTAATGACATTTTCATGTCATCATCCTTTATCTGGACTGCAGTAATAGGCAGTGTTATAGTCATAAGTGCTACATGTTTTTGGAAAGGAATATAAAAACTTTTTTTGCATAGAAGTTGAGATACTCTTTAACACTTAGGAATTAGGTGAGACTTTCCTGAGGGCATGTGATTAGGAGATTCTTATATACTTCTTGGAGGTCTAAACCATCATGTACTGGCCACTGACACAGGCAGGGTTTTGTTCTGTAGACTCTGAATCTAGCATGGTGTGGAAAATCTTAGGTGAGACTTCAGGCAGCTAAAGTAAAACACCTCTGACTAAAGGCCATTACTTCATTTAAGCATAGTGAAGGATTATTTTTCATATGAAATGCTGAAGAAAAATATTTTAATGACATCTCAGGCTGTTGGAATAGAAGGCAAAAAGTCCCTGGCATTAAAACATTACTGGGGGAAATCCTAGTGACTCTGTGAGTTCTCCTCTTCCCAGCAAAGCAGGTATCACAGGCTGCACGGGAATGGCTACTGCTCAAGAAACATCATCCCCCTATCCAGTAGCACCACTGTGTGTATTCAGCAGTGCCCCAAAACACCCAGCTAGGGAGATCTCCTTTTAAATGCTGCTGCAAACCCAAACACATTTTCTCATTCTCCAGTACTGTGCCCCTTTGGTTTTATTTATGGTTTGTTACAGTATATATGAATAGAATGAATAACCTGACCAGTCTTTCCAAACACTTTCCAGTAATTTGTTAAGTCATGTTTTTCACCTTGATTTCAATGGGTCTGGTTTTACCTCGGACTTTCAACTGAAGAATTTTTCAGACATGGACCAATAAATGAGCCTAACTATGAGGTGAAAATCATTTAATGCTGAAGTGCTCAAAGACTACTCACATCTTTAAGAGTAATGATATTTGGATGCTGTCCATACCGCAAAAGTATCTCAATTTCTTCAGAGGGGTCTCTCTTGCTCTTATCAATTATCTGGAATAAATGAAGGACAGTAGTCAAATACCAGTTAGCAGCATTA